CCCTCGTGTAGCTTTGCGCGAAATCCATAACAAACAAACAGCGTTTTTAATTATATTCATTATTGTAACAAATTACTTAACAGCACGTGAATCTGATGCTTCAATTTCATTGGTGAATCATAAAGACCACAAGATAAATTGTTAAAGTCACATATAATCTGTAGGGTTGAAACTATAGCATTTATAGATATATATATCTTGCATATTGATGTGACTTTTACCAATACGGTTCTATAACACTGATGACATAGAATTATAAATGTCTTGTTCTGACCTGTCTCTTAACCTGGATTGAAGAAAAACTGGTTCTCTTCACAACTGAAACCTTTCAACACTTATCCATTCTATAACTTTGAACGTTTTTTTTCTTTTTGTAACTCCTTAGAGGAAACTCCTTGTTTAAGTAACTTCGCTGTTCTTATTTATTTCAAAAATGAAAATTTGTGTTCCGGGTTTCAAATCCACTTAATTGTTTTAAGCAGAGAAAAAAAATGATGTACTTCTTATGTTTGTCTGTGCTACCTCGAGACAAGTCTGTGGACAACGTTATGGACTGTGCTACCTCGAGACAAGTCTGTGGACAACGTTATGGGCTGTGCTGCCTCGAGACAAGTCTGTGGACAACGTTATGGGCTGTGCTGCCTCGAGACAAGTCTGTGGACAACGTTATGGACTGTGCTGCCTCGAGACAAGTCTGTGGACAACGTTGTGGACTGTGCAGCCTCGGGACAAGTCTGTGGACAACGTTATGGACTGTGCTACCTCGGGCAGCACAGTCCATAACGTTGTCCACAGACTTGTCCTCAGGACGTGTTTGCGGACGAAGTTTTAGTCGCTGTTGTGTACTAACAAGAAGTTTGTTTTGCCGCAAAGTTGCCAAGTGGCTCGAACCACAAATTATAGAATTATAAGTCCTAAATCTTACCGCTGAACCATAAAGAATTATGTGCACGAAACGTTCTCTTCAGATTTGTTTCAAACTACTGTTGTCCACTAAATAACTTCATAAGCACGTCAACTAAAACCAGTACTATCTTATCAAGGACCAAATGTGTTGGGAATCCTTATCAAACAACTCTAAATCACACATACCCTAACTCAGAGAAAGTAGGGCTAAACTAATTGTTACTTTTAAAGTCATTCAGTAAGGTTTGCTTAATATTGCAACGGTCAAAGTGACCATAACTCAACTTTAACCATTTTATTGCTATTATTATTATTATTATTACTTTGCTTTCGAAATATCCCCAAAAGAAAACACAATAAAAGGGTAGAAAGACGTTTTTGTTATTTTCCGCGTTTGTCCTACATTTCTGCCATTCAAAACGATACTCTTTCTTATCACTAGAAGTATACGTCAAGTAAGAAAACACTGTGGATCTCTATGGTCTCTCTCTCTCTCTCTTTTTTTTTACTTTCATGGGAAGTACATAATAACTTGAACATTACTACTTACTTAAGAAAAACATATGGTAGACTCGTATCACAACATACAGATGCGGGCGTTGTTCTTTTTTTTTATATATACTTTTCAGTTGATACAGAACCGAAGAATCCGACGATTTCAAAACAGAATAAGACATAACGTTTGAACACTAA